TATACGGTATTTACTACCATGTTCACGTCGCCATATTAACTTCTTCCAATCACGCGATTACAAAACAATCATCCCAAAACAAAGAATTCATGATCGACTTTTAAAAGAATAACCAATAATTTGTAAATCGTTGAATGGAAAGCAAAAAATCGTCAGCTAAAACAGCTTCTTGCTAACTTTCTGCTTTGTTTTGAATGTAAATGCAATGAGCTTTGTTTCTGCCCGCGATTTTTTGGTCAGCGACGACAAATTTCCCACCTGTTTATATATATATATATATATATATATATATATATATATATATATATATATATATATATATATATATATATATATATATATATATATATAAATATCACTAGCCTCCCAAAAAACTTCATTTATATAAAGCTTCAAATAGAAACGAGATAAGTTCAAATCCATGTCCTTAAATACCTTTGGCCTAATCCTAATTAACATACACTAATAATATATATAGACTTGCATTAATATTCCTCCCTCAAATTTAATCCCAGTGGTACATATGTATTCAATTTTTCAATCCAAAAACTTTCCCTCTCTGTAGGTTTATTAATATCCGTGATATCGATAATCTGTGCTTTAAAGTCATTAAGACCCGAATGGCCCTCCTCAAAAAAATGTTCATACAAATGTTGACCACATAAACCTCTTTGGCCCTTAGAAAATCTATTAAGCGAACTCTTGTGGTTATTAAATCTAAGACGAAATGACGTTACCGTATTGCCCACGTATTGTTTATTACATTTTCCGCAAGTAATTAAATAAACCACCCCCTGAGAGTTACAATCAAAGTGATATATATATATATATATATATATATATATATATATATATATATATATATATATATATATATATATATATATATATATATATATATATATATATATATATATATATATATAGGCAGAAAATTCTACTTGACCGCGGCTGGGATTCGAACCCGCGACCTTCGCATTTCTAGAACGATGCTCTATACCGTCTGAGCTACAAGGTCAAGCTGAGAACGACTTGTTTATATATATATATATATATATATATATATATATATATATATATATATATATATATATATATATATATCGAATCCCAGCCGCGGTCAAGTAGAATTTTCTGCTTGCCCGGTTTGGTATATACACTCATATGAAAACAACTCAAATACAATATATATATATATATATATATATATATATATATATATATATATATATATATATATATATATATATATATATATATATATATATATATATATATATATATATA